TGAAGACGTCGTGCTACTGGATGAGAAACTATTTGTAAGAATGACTCTCTCTCCAGAACAAAGACAAAGGATCGCAGACAGTCAAGAGAAGGAATTAGAGATTTCAAAGTGGATTACAAAGAGAAAAGGAAATGTAGATGAGCTGATAAAAAAGATGAAAGGAAAGATAGAAAGGAAAGAGGATGGCTGGCTAGACGAAGACGGTTGCATAGTATTCAAAGGCAGGATCTATGTACCGAAAGATGCCGCGTTAAGGGAAGAGATTATCCGAAGAAACCACGACTCTGTTGTTGCAGGCCATCCAGGAAGATATAAGACAAAGGAGTTGATCACTCGACAATACTGGTGGCCTTACATGGACAGAGATATCACGAGATACGTAGATGGATGCGAAGTCTGCCAAAGGACTAAGACAGACCATAAAAAGAAAGCAGCACCGCTTCATCCAAACGAGATCCCGGATAAACCGTGGCAGATCATATCAGTAGATCTGATCGGACCGCTACCAGAATCAAATGGATATAACATGATAATGGTAGTAGTAGATTGGTTTACCAAAATGATCAAAGTAATTCCCACGCAGATGGAAATCACATCAGAAGGAGTGGCACAACTATTTAGAGATCATGTATTCAGAAACCACGGCATACCCGAGAAGATCATCTCCGATCGGGGACCGCAATTCGTTTCAAAATTCATGAAAGATCTACATACGCTTCTTCAGATAAAAGCGAATCCATCAACGGCTTGGCATCCACAAACAGATGGACAAACGGAGAGGATCAATCAAGAGATAGAACAGTATCTCAGAATCTTCGTGAACCATAAACAAGATGATTGGGCAGAATGGCTTACCCTAGCAGAATTCTCTTACAATAACAAACAACATTCTGCGACGGGATATAGCCCGTTCTACCTGAATCATGGACATCATCCGAGAACACAGGAAGTAGTGAAAGTGGGGGTAAAGAACGAAAACGCAGAAGATTTCGTAAAGAGAATGACAGAAACAAGGAAGAGAGCAGAAAAGTCGCTGCAAAAGGCAGCTGAACAGATGAAGAAGCAGTACGATAAGAAGAAAAGAGAAGCAGTAGAATATAGAGTAGGAGATAAGGTGTACGTAGAAGCGACCAATATCTCAACAGATCGACCAGCTAAGAAACTGGACGACAAGAGACACGGTCCGTTTGAAATACTGGAAAAAATAGGCGAATCGGCATATAAATTAACGCTACCACCGACATGGCGACCTATTCATCCAGTTTTCAACGAGATAAAGCTTACACCGTACAAAGAACCACAATTCGACATCATCCGAGAACACAGGAAGTAGTGAAAGTGGGGGTAAAGAACAAAAATGCAGAAGATTTCGTAAAGAGAATGACAGAAACAAGGAAGAAAGCAGAAGAATCGCTGCAAAAGGCAGCTGAACAAATGAAGAAGCAGTACGATAAGAGGAAAAGAGAAGCAGTGGAATATAGAGTAGGAGATAAGGTGTACGTAGAAGCGACCAATATCTCAACAGATCGGCCAGCCAAGAAACTGGACGATAAGAGACACGGTCCGTTTGAAATACTGGAAAAAATAGGCGAATCAGCCTATAGATTAGCGCTACCACCGACATGGCGGCCTATTCATCCGGTTTTCAATGAGATAAAACTCACGCCGTACAAAGAACCACAGTTCCCTTCCCAACAGAAACCTAAACCGATACCGCCGGTAATAGTAGACGGACAAGAAGAATACGAAGTCGAAGAAGTTCTAGACTCGCGTCTAAAACGAGGGAAATTGGAATACTTAGTACATTGGAAGAATTATCCAAAAGAGGAACGCACGTGGGAACCCGAACAACATCTAAACAACTCACCAGACAAGGTCAAAACATTCCACGACCACAACCCTAGTGCACCTCGACGGATCCGATTTCAATTACATTTCCAACCCTTTGAAAACTTCACAACGACTAGAGTCCGAAAACAATTGTTTAATTGGGAAAACGGAAAGATGGACCCCTACTTTCGGGACGAAAGTCCTAAGGAGGGGGTAATGTCACGACTTGAACCAGAAGCGCTGGTCTGAGCGCTAGTTTCCTTTTTCATTTTTCTTTGATATCTAAATCACATGACAGATAAGATATGTTAAGCTGCTGCTTTAGCGCGGATAACATAACACGTAGTTATATCAGATCACGTGACCATCATGTGACGTAAGTCTAGAACCATTACAAAGAACATCAGTCAGCACCTCATGGCTGACTTTCAGAAACATATATATAGTAGACCATCATGTACATACTTTCCTCAGTTGTTGATTAATTCTCAATTGCTATCTTGTAACGCTACTTGTTTGATTTGAACCTTCGTCCCTCCGTTAGCTCGGTAAAGGGGATAAGGGTTTTACACCCCTCACTCATGAAAAACACTGGAAATTCTCTAAAGCTATGGGACTACAGTTGCACTCGAGTGGGAGTGACAAAACCGGTGTCATGCACCAAAATTGATTGGTAGCATGGACAGGTGTCAATAACGAAGCGAATATTCGAAAAGACTCGCCTTTGCGCCACACAGGCACAGTGCCACGTGGAATAGTAATTAATATTGCCTGTTTCGAACTTGTGGCTGATCAGCACCACCTCTATTAGGCAATCCAGTCACGCTCACCTTTGCTTTTCCATCTGGTACTTTCCGTGTTTCGGCATTTCGGCAAATTTTCGCGTCGCCACTGGCTACACATTGCATTGCGCCCTCACTTTTGTCGTTTCCCTTACTCCCCTTCCTTTGCCTAGCCCCACCATGGGCCCCTTCCTCTCCTTTTTATTCTCACCCAATGGTCGTTTCTGGATCCCCATTCTAATCCACTTGTTCGTCACCTCCACCCTCCTCCTCCTCATATTATTTGCACCCCCACCATTTCTGATGTCACCACTTCCTATCTGCTTCCGTCGCCGATCCGTTGACTACCACGTGCCACTGCTGATATCAGCAAAGCCCCGGCGGCCGGTCCAAATAGGGCAACAGGTCCATCTTCATGACGTCAATCTGCCATCACATACTATCAAAACATCGGTCACTCGTCTTGCCTGGTTGGAGCGTGGGTGGGTAGTTTTTGAGCTGGAGAAGGTTCATCCCCTTGCGTCGCCCATGCTCATCGCTGTCCCATTCACTTGGGTACACTTATCTTTTGTCCATTGTCTTCACTACAGCTACAGCTACCACATGCTGCCTGGGACTCACTTGTTCCAAATTGGAACTACCTACTCCCCTCCCTCCCTCGCTTGACCAGGTGGTCCAGTACAACCAGTCCATTGGTAAAGCCATGGAACTGTCAGATTTGGACTAGGTGGTGGACCGGTGGCTCCAGTTTCTTTTTTTTCAGCAGAACATTCATTTACAGTGCGATTATTTTTGATTTTTGAATCATTTTTATGGACACATATTTTTTAGAATGCCTGACTGACAATAAAGGAACTGCGTTGATACTGATAGTGTTTTTCCTTGCCCTTTTTTTACTGCATCTTCCCATGACATCATGATTTTCTTGCTCTCTTTTTGCTATTGGACTTTACTTTATGGCTGTACAAATCTGTGACATTACTTTCAGCATTCATTGTTCTATCCCTTTCTTTCCCTTATTTTGATGATCTTATCCTGTAGCAACTACGCAGGATTTGTCAGCGTACATTCCTTCCTTCATGTTCTTTCTCATTCTTTTTGCGCAGCTATACTGTGCATAGCCTACCTTTCTTTTCACTATATAAACCCCTGTATTTTACCTTGTAAAAACAACAAAGAACTCGATTCCAGACTTCTTCTCTAAATCTCAAGTTCACTACTCTGCTACTTGTGATCCAGTGTGGTCACAATACTTCCCACTGCTACCACTGCTATCTGCTGTCATCGTCACTCGTCATTTTTGAAAGTCACTGTCATCCCTTTCGATTAGAGTCCTTCTGAGCACTACAGTTTGTGCGTCAGGAGCCTGCTATCACTGGGAACCTCGTCACCTTGTCATCTTTGTCATTCTCAAACCTACTTTGTGCTACAATTAGCAAGGTAGTGCTCATCTATACTCGTTATTAAGCCCCCATCTTCTATAAATTCAATTATCCCTCCTCCTCAAAACCCACACCCATACCTCTCTGGGTTTTACTTTGAAGGACCTTCATACATACCACCCCACGAACAACCAGAGCACCCACTGTTCTAGGAGGCAAAGCCCATAAACAAGTTCCGTGGAATCTGGGAGGATTGTTTGTTAATTTGTTTTTGTGTGTGGTTTTCTAACAACAGTTCTCATCATCGACACCGGATAAACCCAGTCTCTGCCAAAGCAGCCATTGTTCTCCATGGAGCATAGCCACCACTTCATGGAGTAACCATTGTTCTCCTAGGAGTCATTATACTGTAGCAAGTAGCACCTCCAACTATAAGTAGTAGGGGGTTTAGTATAGAAATACCTCAGTTGTTTCTATAGCCTCTCAGGCAGCGGCTGAGGTATGTTACATTACATTTATTAGAGATCACCTTAAACTAACATCTATTGTAGTTTCACTTAGGTAAATAATAAAGTCGTTTCTATAGCCTCTTGGGCAGCGGCTGAGTTTCACTTAGTTTTATTAGGAAGTAGTCGAGCATCGTACGGCATAGTGTGATGAAGAGATGTGGCACAGGCGCCAAACTGGGAAGGCCCAGTGATAGAGGTGGCCCGTGCACCTAATATACCGCATCAGCAAATTTGTTTCCGTCTTCACATATATATGACTTTTCGTTGTCAGGCAGACACCTCAGATCTTCTCTTGAAGTCTGAGGTGAGATATCCCTTTTATTCAATTACATACCTAGCTTATATCTTCATCCCCAGTTGTTTTACTTACTAGACCAAACCCGAACAACTTGAGCATCTGCATCCAATCACACTAGCCCTATTCCAGGGAACACTCAACAAGTGGGAGTCATTCACAACTGAATATGCGCCAGGCGGCACAATTGACCAAGCCAGTACTGAGGAGCGTGATGCTGCATGGATGCCTGCAACGAATGACGCAAACAAGGGGGCCCTTGGCGTATTCCGGCTGTGTGCACGAGATAAGCCTACCTATGGTTCAATAATTTCAGACTCATATAGAAAAGGTCTATATTCAGGAACATGTACCTATGGTTCAATAATCTTTAGGTACATGATTAGTAAAGTATTGTAGTTGGGATAGGCTATGAGGTACTCACTTCAGACTCGTATAGAAAAGGTCTGAAGTGAGCCTCTGTGCGCGAGCGGCTTATATACTGCTGCTCGCGCCAAAGCGTCAGTCTTACAAAAATCCTTGTCCCACTTTAAAGCGTAGACATACAAGCGTATATACAGAAATCCTATTGTTTGTTTAGTAGCTTAGTGAAGCGGCGAGTAGCTTGTCCTCGCTTGTATTCCAACACCTACCTTATCAATGCATCAGCACAATGTGATCACACAATTCCGCCACAATGACACGCAGTTGTTTGTGGACGCAACATTCACCTCAGAAGATTTTTGCCATGCCATGCGCCTCGTGAGAGAAATTGATAGCACTGGACTCGAGAAGAAGTGCCACCTTGAGATCATTCAGCATGAAGAGGGTGAGGTCCAAGCAAAGAGGCAGAGGGTTGCAGAGGCAGCAGAAGGAAGCACAGAAGAAGGCGAGCCGAGAGGCTGAATGCAATGCCACAGCAATAGTCCTGACGCCAAATGAAGAAGAACTGAATCGGCTCACCAAGGATAAGCTGATTATTCAACTGGAGATTCACCGGGTACAAGACTCGACTATACCTCGGGGCCGGTGAGGCATAGTGAAGAAGGACCTCATAAGGATATTGATAGCTCAAATCTCTGTCGTTCTCCAGCAAAACATGCACACTGCATGTGGAAGTGGTCCCTGTGAGCAAGATGGAAGCTTGGACTCGAGCTAGGGGCACAGTCAAGATTCTCGCGATCACTAGTTTCTTTGCATTTTTAATAAAACATAGTCATTCATTACTTCATACAGTACGAATACAAATACCTACTTGCTATGTGTACATTCCGAGCTTAATACACCATATAACGCAGCTTGCTCGAAACTACTCCCTGTGTCATTTCATAGTGCGAACTTGAGGGATGCGAATATTAGGTAAGCATCACACACTTTTGGCGGAGGCTGCCCACAAACGGTGACTCCCTTGGTTGTGGACCAGACCTTCCGAATTGGGAACACAATGCCAGGTCCAAGATAAATGTTCGGAGTCGAACTCGTTACGCATATTTGGTTCCGTGCACTGACAAGGTCGGCTTTATCTGGTTTGCTGCATACTGTAAATCACGTTAAAGACTATCACTTTTCTCCTTTTCGAACAACTCCACTACCCAAAGTCACTGGCATTACACGATTCAAGAGGCCTCGAGTGGAACAATCGCAACAGGTCACGGGCTTACACATCATATTCCACCGCTATAACCTTCTACTCCATGGATGCGACGACAGTGATTCACGAGCTTGAAGATATTTATGACTGGCCTCCTCCTGTAGCGAAGCTCGCAGACTTACTTTCTCAGCCACTCCCATCTTGGCTTGCCACCGGTCCATACCCTTTCACGTCCCCTTGTGCCTCTGATTCTGTAGATATTCTATCTGGACATCCAAAGGATCGTATAGTAACGACCGAGAATTATGATTCTGGCGGCTCTACGTCTTTGAAAGTCGTGTTTGACTTGGTCATGACGGCCTCGTCTGATTTACGCGCCCTCAGTGGCAGGGTTGCATACGGTTGTCCTCGCCCCACCATTCCAATTTGGATCACAATGCTTAAGCATCTATTTCTCCATTGCTCGGAAGACATATCGATACTGTAATGATCTTTTCTCTTTCTTTTGAAGTTTGCATATTTCTGATAACTTGACGCGCGGATTTATTTTCAATTTTTAGTGAAGATGAATATTTTGTCAGGCCACGCGCGCCTCATTCGCAGGATGTTTCCTCCAGTGGTCCAATCACCGACGGCTTTGCATCACTTATTATAGCCCACTATGTCGATCGAGCGGATGAAGATCAAGACACTGGCTCAGCATGTCACTCCTCACAAGACAGCTGTACGAGCTCTTCTTCCGATGACAATTCTTCTCATGTACGAGACGAAAACTATGGGGATAACGGCGAAATTACGAAGAAGAGGAAGGCAAACACGAGTAGCTCAAAGAATCATTCTTTGAAGTTTCCTATCCACGCCCATCTTCTTCCCACACGCGGTCGCCATCTCTCCGCCGTCCTCCCGATTATTGCGGTTGCTGACGAATATAATATCATCCCTCTCATGTCAAGTATGCTTTACCAACGGCGTGTTTGGCACATCGACCAACCAGTTATCGGAATTATTTTCCAAGGGACTGGAACTGTTGGCCAAGTCTTATTTGGTTGGCTGGATTACGATTCTGGGACGAGCGGAGATTTGGTAAGCTCTTCTTCTCTCTTCTATGGCTCGACTGAACCCTTCTCTAGCCTGGGGTCCATATCGCATGTGCCAGCCCAAACTCTCAGCCTAAGGCGTCATTAGGCATATTCGATTTAACCGACCCAGTGGCCGCCATGTCATTGGCCCAATTTGTGCTTGCATTATCGTCGTATTTCAAGGACCTTATCAACGCCACATCAGTAACGTCTGTCGATGCGGATCCATCCCTGCACTGGAGATCAGATCTCATCGATATCTCCTCTGAATCAGGAGAACAATGGAAGGAGCGAGTTTCAAGGTGGGCATGCGACGTACACGTGTCCACATGCGCGAGGTTCCTACTATTTTCAGTTTTGTAGTTGCAGGGCATGCATCCTTATTTATTTCTTTTTAAAGCAGCGATACTTCCTCTTCTCCTCCCCGTACCCCACCATTACACGCTACACGTTCTCAGCCTAGCTGCTGGTCCCCAACTATGTCTTCGAGAAATCTGCATACTATTCACGAGGAAGGACACGATGAACCCAGAGGCTCCAAGTCTCTTCGAAGCGGTGTCAAACGTGATGGTACTCAAAGTGACCACAAAGTGAGCAGGTGAGCATGGCAAGTTTTGAGCGTAATGATGGAAATGATATAGTAAATTGATATTCAGCGATAAAAGCTTTTCTGCAAGTCAATCTTCTGTTGCAAAGCACTCTGTAAGCAAAAAGTCGACAAAAATGTTATCAACCTCTAAGTGAGAGCATATACATATACATCATGTGTTGAATCGTGACTTACAATATTTAGAGATAAAAGCCCCGCTGGAAATCAGCTTTCTGTCGACAAGTACTCCGCAAGCAAAAAGTCGAAAACAAATGTATCAAACTCTAGGTGAGAGCATATACATTAAACGTGTTAAATCATGACTGACAGCTGGGATAGTTTTGCGATGAAGAGTGAGAATGGCTTAGATGAAGAATTATCGATTACGAATTGGCTTTTTGATAGAAGAGCTCTCACGATCGGTAGAATCCTGTTAGCAGATCTTGCTCAAGACCCAGAATCGGAACACAAAGAGATTAACGAAAAAATCAAATTTTACGACGAGACGACTAAATTTTGCTGGCCAAGCAGCTGGAAAACATTGGTTAGTTTCCTCGATCTTAGTGCCACGTCTTATATACTCACGTCAATGCAGAGTGACCTACCTGGATCAGACCTTAGCATTGAAGGGCATCGTAGAATGCTTTTTGAAAATTATAATAACTATGTTCAGGCTGGCAACGAGGTTCCAGACCTGGAGACCAAAATCATGGAACTCCTCTCCAGTCGGTTCTCCTCTATGTTGTCATCTTCCGATGGTGCATATACTCGAGCTCTTGCAGCGGCGAAACGTAATTCTAATGAAGCTGAACGCCGCCATGATTGGGACAATCTGTTACTCAAATTTTTCACGACCTCGAAGTACACTGGTAGCACAAACCGTGATGTGTTGTAAGTACCAGGCAACGCGCCCTAAAGCATATCTAATCGTTTACGTAGGCTGGAACGTGTTTTAAATGCACCTCGAAATATAGCCCTTGACGCGATGAGGACTTCTGCTGCTGATCACGTGCGAGAGCGCTCTGCGCTAGCACGTCAATATCGTTTACATTGCTTAGCAGCGTACAACAACGCTGTAGAGCAAGGAAACCTAGATATCGACACTCACGCTCTTCAGGCGCTTAACCAGTCTGCTTCATTTGTCGAGCAAGTCAAGGGTGATATAGAGGCCCGCTTGCTCGATGCCCTCGAACGTCGCACCAACCAAGAACCAACACGTGGAAAATGTGATGCAATTCTAGTCGTACCCCTTGAAGGCGTCTGCGCTAAGATCGTTAAAATCCTTGGCCAGTCCGAAGGCAGGAAGTTCGTGAAAAATCTTGCTTTGATAGCACATCCTGGTGCGGAAAAGTCGGCATCTGGGACTGGGAAGAACGACAGAGGTGAGAAAAAATAGCTGAGTCGTAGAGCTCTTGCTAAACTCGAATGAAATCAGCAAACTCGGACTCAGCTCGACATCTGACCGTTGAGCCTCAGCCATCATCGGTCACGGACAACAGCAAATCAACTTCCTATCCCTCCTTGCACAATGTCTTCACGGCAACTGTTCCGAGACCACCCTCCGAGTCCTCGGAAACCCTGTCGAAAGATGTCGTTCAGCTTCAGGCAGCCCAGGACGGGGAAATAGACAATGATTTATTATTGCCAGTCCTTACCGCGGAGTACAAGAAAAAAGATGTTACTACGACATTCAAGGCTTTGAACCAGTCTCGAATGTATACGGTTTCAGCACTGTATTTTCTGAGATCCTTGGGGATCGTTGATTTTCCACTTTTTGGCCTAGTCACCTCTGGGTCTGAAGGAGCAGTATCAATGGCTTGGTACTCGTCCAAGCAACAAGTAAGTATGTTCATTGATATGCTCATTGACATCTTACCATCCCTCACCATAGAAAATTTTTTTAATGGAGCGGAACCTCCAGTTATATGACATATCAGACCCGCTCCAAGTTTACGAGTTTTCTGTAGTTCTTCTTCGCATTGCTGAACATGGTCAGAAGCTCAAAGTGAAGCTGCAAGAAATGCTGAGCAAAATAGATGAGCGAAGCAAAATTAAAACATTCAAGCACTGGTCTAATTTGGCTCAGCCAAAAGAACTGTAGTATATCTCAAACCATGTCTATAGGCTTGCATAGCATCACTGTCACATTTGTACATACTTTTGTATTTGTGGACATGTCTGAACACCTGCATAAAATATCAGAAAATATTAAATATTATTTAAATGCCTTGCCAGCCACTGAAATGCCTAAATATTAGTCATTGCTTGAAATATACAATGAAAGAGTTGCTATGTAAAGGCCATTACAATCTCAGTTTGCAATGCCAATTGCCATGAGCGCTACAATGTCATTACCAGGCCAGGCTCAAATTGTAATTAGAAAAATGCATTATCAAATGAACCTTTATCTTTACAATGGACTAGTGGTTGTTATTAATGATTTGTATAATTGTTATCAGGAAACTTGTAATCATTATTGAGGAATTCTTATCATTATCAGGGAACTCTTATCATTATCACAGAATCCTTATCACTGAGATACAATTCTAATCATTATTACATTTATTTGACTTACATTACCAGGATTCGAACTAAGGGCCTTGTACTTTATTACAGTTACACATTACTACCAAATTGGAGCATAATAACCACTACACTATTCTACCGTATTTACTATATCATTATGCTTCAATATGATACACAAATTTATGCCATTGTAAGGTCACTGCAGTATGCACTCATTTGTGTGTGCCGACTTTCAATGCTTTAGTGTGGGGTGCTACGCTGGCTCAATATGTGAATGGAACATGTTAACCAACTGTATTAAAGACAAAGAGAAATATAAGCTACTTTTGAGATCTTGTAGTAGCACATTGATATCCAGAAGTACCAGTAACTTTCCTTCCTCTTTTCCCTCGCACATTAGCACTCAATGAAACTTCTGAAACCTCAACTTCTGCGTCTACTAGGCCAGGAGCAACGGCAGGTCCAAATTGAGCAACTGAAGGCCTTGGATTCTCGGCCACAGCAACACTCTGAGTGTCTGAAT